TCTCACAATCATCGTATCAGCTTGTATTTCACCTGTCAGTTCACATTTCACATTGGCTCGTATTTCACATGTCAGTTCACATTTCACATTGGCTCGTATTTCACCTGTCAGTTCACATTTCACATTGGCTCGTATTTCAACTGTCAGTTCACATTTCACATTGGTTCGTATTTCACATGTCAGTTCACATTTCACATTGGCTCGTATTTCACCTGTCATCTCACAATCATCGTATCAGCTTGTATTTCACCTGTCAGTTCACATTTCACATTGGCTCCTATTACACATGTCAGTTCACATTTCACATTGGCTCGTATTTCACCTGTCAGTTCACAATCATCATATCAGCTTGTATTTCAGACTTGATGTTGTAAAATCCAAATAATGATTTTCTGTTATTTTCCCATACAGAGGGCTAGCTGCTGGAAAAGTACAGAAAGCAAAAGATAAACCTAAAGGCCTTGCACAAAGTAAGAGGACTATTACATATTCATAATATACATTCTATACATACATATCTATTGGGCATTGCAGGTTCCATAGTCGTGCTTTGATGTGGATTTCAGTCTATTTTCTAAAAATGGTATTATTATAGTTTTCAACTTGTGCATCAGTAAAGTTTAGCTAAGAATGTGTCTTTTATCAAAAGCCATCAGTCTTGCTGTATTTTCAAGGTGACATAAAACCTAGAACAAAAATATTTGTTTGTCATTGAGGTACAATGCACTAAGGTGCACAGTGTGAAAATAGCATAGAGAGAATCTGAACATTTGCATTTTTTGTTACAGAGCTGACTGACTATGTGATGAGCACTGGTTTTGTAAGAGACCAAATATTCAAGAAAGCAAAAGCACAAGTTATGAAGCAAACACAGGGACTGTATCCTGCACCTCTCAGAATTCTCGATGTAAGTGCTGAAATCCTTGATTTAATTGACTGATAGTCCGAAAACAGGGACATCCATGTGTTTGTCCACATCTCAGAAATGCCTGGGACAATTTCTTTCACACATCATATCATACATACATGTATATACATGTTTGTTTTATGATCCAATTGAAGATGGCTGAATGGCGGCCATTTTAGTGCTAAAAATTCATTGAAATCAACCATTTCTGCTATTCCGAAACTGGATCTCAACCTGCATGGACACATTTCATTCAAACTTGGCGTGTCCATTCAACATAATGCTTACTGGTAGCCAATTTGTTTTAACAAATGTACTGGATCATGTCTCTAGCAGCACTACCATATTTTGCTTTATTAGACTAGAGGGCGCAATTCAAGCTCACATAAACCAAACATATTTCTTGTATACTGGGTTATTAAAATATAATTTATTTTGACCATAGACACAACTCGTTCACATAAACATGTGCTATTGATAGAGTAAATTTTTGTAAATAATGTCTTGTTTTCTTAAAAATAATGTGTGTTTTCTTCCCATCTATAACAGGCTATGAAGACTGGTGTTGAGAAGGGACCCACTGCTGGGTACTTGGCCGAGGCTGAAGGATTTGCTCAATTAGCAATGACGAATGAATCAAAGGCATTAATTGGGTTGTTCCACGGTCAGGTTAGTGAATTGAAATTCAGAAATGTCAAAATCTTTAAATGTTTTGTCCCTGTGATTAAGGTGC